GTATATGTAAGCATAGCCTTTAATTTGGTTGTCTATTTAACTATTCATAATTATAGCCTAAAAGTCGGTTTAGGGTTAATTAACATTATTGTTTTAATTTTTTTCATATACGGAATGAAGCTAATCATTAAGTGACACTGTTTTACGTATTTCATTGAGTTTATTAATTGATATTCCCAAGCATGCGTCGATCCCAGACATGCGTTAAAACGAAAATATTTAATAGTGTATGAATTGACATTTACGGGGTAAAGCCGCCCTAAATTCGTCAGCATTTAAGGAAATATCGACAGGAAAAGCGAATATTTTTTTCCGTTCGTAGGTCACAAGGGATTGGACAACTTAATACGAGCTGTCAATACGATACAACGCAGTCGCCGAGAACAAGTGCCGCGAGGAGGAACGCTCAGTACTAACTTAACTAACTGTGGTAGGGCCACGCAACAGAATTGTTGCACGAATGGGCAGGTCCGTCCAGGTAACCACCACGTCCTCACAGAAGACCGGCGTAAACAGTGTTACACTTCCGCGTTTCGTCTGGTGAGTGTGGTAGCCGGGGCTAACTTTATTAAAAGGTGGCGACGCGTTCGCAACCCCACGGGTGTTGCGAATGTCCATGGGCGGCGGTCATCACTTAACACCGAGTGTACCAGCTCGTTTGCCACTTTGTCACATTATAAAAAAAGACCTAGAAACGCACCGGGGTGGTCCGTAACGGGATGAGGCTGGGGTTGATAGCGTCAACGGACAGTTGAATGGGACGCCCCGAGACCGGCTAACGAAGTTTGTTAGAGCGGCAGAGGGCGAGCCCGCGGCGCCTTGCGTCTATACAAGCCCACCCCCGCGGGGCCCAATTCACGACGGGCGAAGAGCACGCCAGGACAGACGGAATTCCAACTATTTCAATGCTGTTAATAATGCGTTATACCGAGCATTTGTTTTTTATGTGACAAGTTGCCAAGCGAGCAGGGGGCTCACCCGGTGTTAAGTGAATACCACCGCCCATGGACATCTGCTACACCCGGGAGTTGCAGTAGCGTTGACAACCTTTTGAAAATTGGGCTATGGCTACCTCACTCAACAGGCGAAACCCGAAAGTATTGTACATCCACTTTACGCCGGTCTTCTGTGAACAGTGTTCAATGAAATCACTTTCTCGTTCGTTTAACAATTTTTTTTTTTTCAATTCAACGTGACGAATTATTCATGCTCCTATTTTTACACCCGTGCGATCGCGAAGCGGGAACAGTACCTATGCGAACAGCGATGGAGCATGATGTTCACAATTGGTTGTAAAAAACATAAATTTAACAGAAAGCTAATCAGCCATCTGCAGAATTTTAGTGAAATGAAAAAAAATGCGCGAGCGTCGTGGAACACTCTGTTGTAACGAAATTCCATTCGTAGTAAATTATTATTCGTAATTGTATCATTTGCAATAACTAAAAATTTTATTCCGTGTGCCAGTACCCTTCGTTTGTGAAAAAGACATTAAATGCAATTGACAACGCATTAATCAAATAACTTGGAATTATAGGTGTGTGTCAAAAGTTGTTACACTTTTTTTGCCTAGGCCAAATCCGTACCGTACGATGATGATAACCAGTAGGTACAATCGCGTTTACACAAAAAATATGCAAACCTAAGTCGCAAGACTTAAGACGAAAATCTTCGCAAAATGAATATACACAGAATTAAGATCAATAAAGGACTAAAAAAATGAAATACATAGTATTGATTAGGGGATTATTGCTACGCTACTAGCTGCTGACAGCTTGGAACCTTAATATCGCACTGAAAGAGTTATTTACGAATAAACCGTGATTAAAGAATGTATCGCTCGTTTATCGAATGTAAAGATAAATTGAATAGTTCGACTTCACGTTGTTACATTAAATTCTTCGAGCAGAGTAATGAATAAGGGAATAGTTTAAGAATAGCGAAAGTATATCTGCGGTAGTTTCCGGGAAACAGCGTCGTCTAACATAACGTATGTCCGCGTGGCCGCAACTAAATTTGAACTTATTTGAACAGGTTCAAATATGTTCAATTTAGTTGTGTTGATAAGTAAATAACTTGTACACGCCCTTTCACCGTCACCCTATTATTTATTTAAAACTAGCTGACTCGGCAAACGTTGTTTTGCCATATAAATTATTTCTTATAATAGTTATCTGAACACATAGAAAAAAAATTCGGAACGCGCATAAAATGTTTGACAGGTAGGATCAGTTTGTATGGGAAAATAAAATTGTTGCTATTTCGATTTTCCATGCAATTTTTCCATAATTTCTTATCGTTTAAACCTTCACTGGACTAACACAAATATTTCAAAACCAAAATTAGCCATTTCGGTCGAGCCGTTTTCGAGTTTTAGCGAGACTAACGAACAGCAATCCATTTTTATATATAAGATATATAAGAGATATCGTTCTTTATTATGATGCCCAATAAGAGAACAATTAGCAAGGATTTTCGCTTGCCTCAATGAATGCGAGAGATGAATTCAAAATTCAGTCCCTTCAGGGCTATAAAATCCATTAAAAACTGTTTAATAATGTCTCTAAACTTTGGCAAGATCTTGCCGATATACCGTCGGACGGAGTTCAAACTTTTTTATCCAATACTGAGAGCTTCATTTGGTAATTCGAATTGGTAATTAGCACGTAGAGTGATAACTCTATTGTATTGTATCTCTCTAATGTCACTAGCAACTAACTGTTCGTATGTGTCGTAGTACACTAAATTAATGATCCTCGAATACTTTATAAACCTATGATAAAAATTATGTGTGGTCTATTTTTATTTTATAGTTTTTGGAAAAACTGAAAGCTGGATCGGTTATAATATCTTTTTTTACTTTTTCATACGAATAGTAACTAAAAGAAACGTTGCAACAGCATAGCGCAAGTGCACGAGACAATGAAGACAACGTAGCGACTATTAGGAACGAGTGCTGTGCGACAAGATAAGTCATTAGCATCAAAATGGAGTGGCTGAAAGAGGTTTTATTGCGGTAGAGTAGAGCAGGTAGGTTCTCTTCACTTACCGTCGATCCATAGCGATCGACTCTACTGGAGAAGAATCTCGTGAAGTAGATTCGTATGTTCTAATTCCCTCTGAATAGTGCGGCAAACGAGACTTTTTGCATGATTACAGTTGATTTGAATACACTTCTGTGTATGTGTGTTCAATCTAATAAATGAAATGTAGATAAAGCAACAACGGAACAAGTTATATAGACGAGTTAAATAAAAAAAATATTTTTAGCGAGACATTGAGAAAAATATCGATAAAAACTAGATAGGTTCATTCGTAAAAGGAGACAATATGCCAGAGACGAATTGGTATGAGAGCTTGAGATAGAAAATCCGTTTAATTTTTTTAATAGATATTTAATAGGAAAAGATAACTGTTGCGAAGAGATACGCGATAAGAATCAGATCTGGGCTTAGATATGATGCCACCGCCAACAAAACAAAACGATTTGATACAAAATCTCATCTGTAAATAGGTCAACTGTACAACCTATCGTCATAGTATTTTTTTAAATTCCACAAATTCACTATTAAAACAGACTGCTGAAAACGATTACATACTAGATCCACGCAATATTTTTTTCCGGGCAATCAGCTGACAACAGAGTGAGCTAAGAAAAAATCCTCCGCATTGAAACAGTATTCGAGTCCGCTATTGCGTAGTGTTATTCATTCGTTATCTATCAGGGGCGCGATAAAGCGATTCGTCTATGTCATGTATCTATGTTATGAGAAAAAGATTTAATTTTCGAAATTCAAACGCGAGAGGCTGGCTGGAAAGTTTTGGAAATTATTAAACGGTCTGGCGGTGCGGTTCGCGATGGCGCAGTTTTATCGACGAGGTGGGCCAAGATAAGAACGCGATAATTGCCCATCGCACGCCAGTCATCCGCACCTTCCGACGGTGACGCCCGCAAACGATGGTCGATACGCGAACAGCTGACGGAACGTACAAAAATGGCCGCTGTCAGCGTGGAGTCCACGCGACCGCGACGCCTGTGAGCCGTCGCATGCTAATCCCTGAAACACGCAGAATGCAACACTACTTCGAAGCTGATGTAGCGCGCTTGCATATCGGGACTGGGTCCTTGTTGCGCTACTGAGATAGTAGACTCACGGCTGGTCAATCAACAAACGCGTTGATCTTGTTGTGTACGTACCGCATACGGCACCGATGGGTGGCCGAGCAATCAAATAATGGTAGATCGTCCGAATGGAGACCGCGATTTGTAGTGGAAACGCCGGATGGAAGTGATTAATTGGCGTCTTAATTGTGCCATTGCGTCAGCGGAGGGCCCTCCGGTTGTCCGGCGGAACGCGGCCGGCCTCAACACCCTGCAGCGGAATCCAATCGCGACCTACTTACGATATCTGCCCTATCGGCTGCTGTACAATTAATTAGATTGATAAGCGACCAAAGACGTCGATGGACTGAGCGCCGAATATGCTAGCACTGGGGCTTGCTGTCCTCCGAGCTAAGTTTGGCAGCTGTCGCGTGTGATCCCGTGCGATTTCGACCCAAATGCAAGGGCGAAGCCACTCGCAAATAAAAAAAGCCCCGCGGGCTCACTCGCCTGTTTATAACACGGAGCATTACCGCACTGTGGCACGTGAAAGGCGGGCAAGCACTGTTGCAGACAGAATATGCGCGAAATGAAGAGAGGTAAACGATAGGGAAACATTTTACAAGGCAGATAATGTTTGCACGCACCGCACGATAGAGTAATCTGCGCACCGCCAGCCGATTAGGAACGGCTTGCCGAATGCCACTTACGTCAAATTTTTCGAAAGAGCGATAAAGAATTTTCGACACCGGAAGCCGCGATTTATTTATAGAAATATTGCTGCGACCGTTTTTAAACGCAAAGCGCTCGTGATGATTTAAGACCGAGTGCGAAATCATTTTTTGTTTTTAGTTTTTTTTTTTATTGATTTTCCGCCTTATAACGTTAGGCCGTTAATATGTCCGGTCACAGCGAACAATGTGGCACTCGTAAGACCAGCTCAATTTCCGAGACGCTGTTCCAAGGGGGAAAACAAACGCTGGCTCTAAACTGGGGCAGTCAGCCGCCGCACGGACCCTCTGAGCGGTGTTTTATTGTATATAAGTGGGGCGGGCGAGGCGGCCGAGGGTCTGCCCGCTATTCCGCGATGGCACCACCCTCCGAAACTTGCCCGAGCCGAGACCAAGCCGGTATCGATCCGCGACAGCCCAAAGCCAGCGTTCACCACAAACGTTCGCCGAACGCCCCACCGCCACCACTGTCGGCGCTACAGCCACGTGCCGGGCCCCAAGTGCGCATCCAAATCTCCAAAGAACAATCCACATTCATACGCAGAGTGTACATACATATACGGAATAGGTTTCGGGAAGGGGCAGTCGCCGGGTCGATCGAACCCGCGCCCATAATGCGGCAAAACGCGGCGCGGAACCGCTGACCCAGTGGCACTGTGCCGCGGGCACGGGCAACGTGCACGAGAGGCGATTTCAGCCGCTCGCGGCGCGCATCGAACCTCGACCCTTGGACCGGCCATCGCTACTGCTACTGCACTCACCGTTTCCGTTTATTAGGGGGTAGTCGTCGTCGTGGCGGCCTATGTACGTCTTCAGCGGCGTGTCCGTGAGGGAAGGCGACGACCTGTCCCTGTCGCTCATAATAGTCACTTAAAACACCGGCTGCGGATACGATATGACAACACGAAACGGGGAGACGCCGGCCCCGCACACACTCCACGAGCGACCTCCGGCCCGCGGCTCGCGAGGCGAATAAATAATCTAATGCAGCGCTCTACACGTCGCTACCGCTACTCGACGCCGCGCTCCGCTCGCCACCCCGCAATCAATCCGCAGCGCTACCCCTTACGCCATCTAGTGTCAAGTACCGAAAGCATCGTGCCCTCTATCGGCCGCCGGTCGAAGCGGCATCCCACCAGAAGATGGCGCCGCAAAAAAAATCCTATTGTGAAATACTTGTGTACCTGAACAATTTTATACAAAATTATTTCGCTCTTTCTTGATAATAAATGTTTAGTTTGCGATGTAAATTGGAATCTCCAATTTGAAATAATGCCCATGAGACTAACACCATTTGAAAAAAAGATTTAACTGTTTGAAATATTAAGTCCTCACTCATGCACATGGAAATTGTAATATTTAATTCGGTCCACATACGGACCGAAACATTCCATGTGCCTAAATTTACCTCGGAATAAACTCCAGCGCTCATTTCCATTAATTTCAAATCCATTTCAATTTTAGCAGGGCTAAATTTGAAGCATCAATGAAGTGGAGTCAAAAGGTCCATAGCCGATAATAATTCCGTGTACCATTCAATACATGTGACGATTATATCTTTGTAAGTAGTTTATTAAAACTAAAAAAACAATACACATCGAAAAGTGCAAAGTCATCGCGTTGTTAGTGTTTAGGAATTCGTTCCATTGCTGGTCCAAACGTGAGTCGACCGCGGCCGGGGGAAAGGTGGGGGCCGACGGGGGGGCTGGGGGGCCAGTGCGTTTTTGACCCTGGAAAGTGACTGCGGCAACGTTAGGGATTTCCTTGCGCTGTCTGTGTGCACCCAATATCGCACGGAGCTCCCGCTCGGCAATCGCAGCCGCCAACGCCGTCGGCGTCGCAGGCCCGTCGTCTGTAAAGGAACGAACAAAAATCGGTTCTAATGATCGGATGTATGGCAAGAATTTAAACTCAATCAAGCAACGAATTCGCTAAAAGTATTGATCGTCTTGTAGATATTTATCAATTTATTGATTGATTGATTGAAATATCTTTGTGGTGGGTTATTAAGAAACCATTAAGCATAATCGTGCCTTGTAACACAACATTCTTTAAACAACTTTTTTTCAGTTTCAATTGATTGATATTATTCTGAAAGGAACAGAAACTCTCTTCAAAATTTTGATATTTATATTGCTAGAGAAGCAGAGTTCATGGTGTGATTTGTGTAATTATATTCCACTATTTCAGGGACAAAACTTCTTGCTGTATTTTCTACAGCCCGATTCGAAAAATCAAATTTGAAAATAACTCCATAGAAGAGACTTGAATGTGCGCACGCATAGTAACAGTTATACAGCGTGTCGTTAACAACGCGACAATAAATGAACACACATATTATAGAGGATAACTTTTTAAAATTATATCAAAAATTTACATTCTTTAAACATCAATATTTACAGAGTTATGTAATGAATTAAAAATTATGAATTATGAATTTAAAAGATTCAAAACATACTGTTAGAAGGAAAGGCTTGTAATGCGACGCCGTGGCAATGAATGATAAAGTCTCTGAATGTATGAATCAGTCAGTTGTAGTTGTTTAGGATGTTACCAATTTTGTTTCTTTTTTACTTAATTAGTTTGTTTGAAAAATATTTTTTCTTAATTATGGAATTTTTAACGTCAATATTTTTTATGATTATTGGCAAGTAGCGTTAGACGAATGTTCATTTATTGTCGCGATGGTAACGACACGCTGTATAATTACCATATAAAAGCAATTTTAATATCGCTATTAATTTTATTAAAGATATTGCTCCCAAGTAGCAGAATCTGCAATATCAATAAAATAGCATAGATAGAAAAATACAATTTATTTCAAACTAGAGATCTTTCCGAAGTTATTCATAATAAATCAGTCTAATGTATTATTACGTAGTACTAATGTACTACATATATTGATTCTAAGATTCTTGGCAGGGCGTTTTTTGTATGATTTAAATTGAAGCTCTTCTTTATGTTTTAAATTTTGTCTTTCCACCCAACTCTTAATTTTATCAAATATTTTAAATTATAATGAAGTATGTTCCACTTCTAGGCATTAAAAATAAAATTGTAAATAATCTACGGACAGAAAGGTGTAACGCTAAGCCACGAATGATCAAAAACAAATGACGAACAAACACCAAACAAACGGAATAACTGCATTTATTAATTGCATAATATGAATTATTAAAACATGGAATTCTCAAAGTAAATGATAAAACCTGTAATAATGAAAAACTGATTGAAGGAGAATAATAACTGAAACACTAGCAACATTCTTCGTAGAGCTATCTAGCTGCGAAACGTCGATATAGTCGCATATCATTTCGTCCCATTTGTCTGTCAGGTCTTGGATGCTGCGCGCGCCGGCCACGAGCTTTCGTCTCATGAGCCTTTTGGCGCGGGCAAGGCGCGCTGGCGAGTCGAACAGGGAACGCCCCAAGTTACCCATCAGCTGCATATTCACGTTGGGCTTTGATGGCTCCACCATCACCACTGTGTTCATCTGCTGCGACACCTGCATCAGCACCGGTGGTTTTACCGTTGAACTCTTATCCAATAGACTCTCTTTCAGCATTGCTTTCTTAAGAATTGACAACCTGGACTTCTCCGCCAGCGATAGTTCTGATGAGGAGCTGTCATTCAATTCTACTGTAGGTGTTTCTGCTGTAGTGATCGTTGTCGTTGATATTGACGAAGTCGTGAATTTGGTCTTGATTGCTATTTTAAAAGTAGGAAATGTTTCCGTGTTGAAATCTGTTTTACTTCTCCACTTTATCGGTTGCCTTGTTTTATTTCTCTTCTTGGTTCTCATCCTTGCAGTTGTTCTCATAGGAAGGTCTTCGTCCTCGCTGGTGGGAGTGCCGTATCGGTCCAGTACGTAAGACCGGCGGTAAGTCCAAACTTGAACCCGACGTGACGTTGTCGACCCCGTCGCCCGCGCTAAGCACACAAGCTCAACGTTAGCCTTTTGGCCAATCGCTATTTTTATACACATAGCACTCGCGTTTAAATGATCGAAATAACAACAAATAGAATACAATGCTTTCATAACGTATTACAGGAGGCTGTAAGAGTAATTTATACTTTTAATTTGACATTAAAATTTATTCAACTGATTTTGATTGGGTAAGAATTCCGAACAGTACGTCTCGTTTTTCAAGCTAGAAAAAAATTTTAATCGATAGAGAAATGTTAATAATTAAATATTACATACATGAAAACCAATGCAAACACTTACTTTTAATAAAAAAAATTATTCAAAACTTGTTATTTTGACTAAATAAATCCGTCATTTTGTGTTTGACAACATGTATAAATTTACGAATTCACACACTTTTCCAAATTATAACCTTCGCATTATTAAAAAAGAGTCTTTAAAAATACTAAAAGTACTGTTACACTAAAGTTTTCTGGGTGGTCATAAAATAAAACCTAGCCTTCGTATCCTTATCCTTCTAACCTAACCTATCCGAGTCGGATCGTTCTGTGTCGGATCTGTGACTCATTTTGAACCTAATATTCGAGACATTAAGTGTACACTAAGTCACAAATTTTAAATATTAGAAACTGTTAATAATACATGTTCATGAAGTAGAAACTTGTGTTTTTGTGATATATCTGTGTATTTGTGTCTTCTTACAACGTAAAAAGTGAAAACGTAAGTTTTTAACTTAAAATTATAGTCTATAATGAATAATGGACGCACACTAATGACGGATTTCAGTTGTATGAAATTTAATAACTTTGTTAATTTTTTCCTCATAATCTAGTGGTTTTCATTGATTATAACTTATATAATATTTAATTATTAACATTTGTCTATAGATTAAAAATTTTTTCTAGCTTGAAAAACGAGACGTACCATTCGGAATATTAGCCAAATTTAATTACCAATAAAAATTATATCCTTCACAGATATATATGATTGCTTACCTTTCGTTCGTCGGTAAAGTACAGTAATTTTTTTCTTAATGTTGTTCACTCGCTTCATATCATAATAATCCTGGTAATCTTCTTGTGTTTTCTGGTTTAGCTTATTGGCTTCCAGGCGGGCGATAATATCGTCATCAACTTGCAATGTCGGACGTTTAACTGCGTTTTGACCTTGTGCTTCGAGTAGTGATTGACCGGAATGCTCTTTAGGAACAAGATTGTCTTCCGAGGCAGGATACTCCCCTTCCTTAGCCTCATCACGTTCTTTTCCTTCATCTTCATCATCATCGTCCATGTCATCTGTCTCATTTTCAGTACTAGCAATTGACCGATCTCGTGGTTTCCGTCTTACAATTTTCTCACCGACGCTTCTAAATCTCTTTTCATCGTCAAAACGTACTTGGTATCGTTCATCATTTATGTAGTCATCTTCTTTATCAATAATATCGTTACTTTTTATCCGACCACTGTTTAAAGGAATTTTCTTAATTTCGACGCTTTTATCGGAATTTCGCCATTTTGACTGTCTGGGCGAAGGTTGTTTAACTTTCGGCTTAACTTTATCAGCTTTTGAATGCAATGTGGCCTCTGGCCGTTGAAATCTAGACGTTCTTTTATTAGATTTACGTTTCTCTTCTTCATTATTCGAGTTCAATGACCTTAAATTCAAACTTTCCTCATATTTGTAATCTGGAGAGGCAGGTGCTTCTAGAGACCGGTCTTGATAATCATCATTAATGGGTGCACGATCTCGCGCCGGTTCGTGGTACTCTTCGGAGCCGTACTGAGGCATTTTTGCTGCAGCGTAATCGCCGTATTGTGTGCCACTGGCTAGTCCCACGTAAGCTGCACCAATAAGTACTGCCAACAGCACAAACACCATTGAAAACCCCTTCCCGCCACCCCCTTTCCTTACGCTAACGCGTTTTCTCGCGTTTTGTCCCACCAACGCTATGATGACACAGTTTGAAAACAAATAGTTAACAATAAATATAAAATTTCCGACATGATTCTTCAAATAGGACTACAAATTTGACATTTCAATGTGACAATAAACTCTGTCAAATAAAATAAAATGATTAACTAGCCAGTAAGTCCATTTTGATTTATGTTTACCAGTCATAACAAATTTAATACAAATTAAACATTTTATTAAGACAAATTTGGTAAAGGTAATGTCATTTTTGCTTTTTAGTCAATAACTTAACTGTTTAACTAATGCTTCCTGGCTTAATATAAATCTGTTAAGTCTCGTGTTCGACTTTAAAAGCTATTGAATATTTCAAAAGTGACATTGGATCATTTTTGTCGTTAAATATACCAGGTCAACATGTAACAAAGACTATTTTTTCAACCTACCATGATTATGAAATAAGCAAACGGCTGCGTTATGAGCGGGACTAAAAAAAGCGAAATAGAAGACGAAGAGGACTGTGGTTGCTTCACGGAGTCACGTAACAAGAAGACGTGTCCTCCTATCCAAAATGTGACCCATCCACTGGTATTGGAAATTGTTTGTCGCATAGAAATTTATACTTAAGCATTTCTTGAAATGCGAGAAAACAAGGTAGATAAAAGACATTGAGATTTTTGTCGGTGTCATTCAAAGTCATCTATTCAGCTTAGTGGTTAAAACGTCTGGACGCGAATTCGCGACGTGGTTCGATTTCTGCAGCGGCGACCTTTTTTCGCAAATTTCAATGAATGTATTTGATTTGTTTTTAAAAATTTACTTAAGATCCCCATTGTTTATCTGAACACCATTTGAAGTGGTGACAGAAAAGTGAGAAAATTTATCAATTAGATCCATGTAGATACGTTTACTAGTTGTAGATACGTTAATGTATGTTAATGTTGTATACGTTGTTCTTAATACGGTGTTCTTAACTTTTGTAAGCAATCAATCTAAAAAATTTAGATCGAAAGATCTCCATCGTGTCTCCCATGGCTGAAATAATCTTTACTTTAGTTGTTGAAATAAAAAAAACAGGTTGCATAACACTTCTATAACTACAGTACCGTAAAATAAAATTTTTATTCAATTTCAATTATTCAAAGAAAAAAATGTTTTAATACGTAACTGATTTTCTTTTGGAAGACCTTTTCTTTTCGAATTTTTTTTTCTCTTATTTATTCTAGCGTTACTACGAGTTTACCCAAGAGGAAATAAGAGCTTTGGAAGAATGCGACAAGGAAAGCTTTTATCAGCGCTGTTTACCGTTTAGCGCATTTTTAGCCACCACAGCTTACATCGGAGTCCGCACTGGTGAGCAACTTCTCTGTCTCAGTAGTACCAGCTTCTGAATTCGTGGAACTTCATGGAAGTAAGAATGTGCACATAATATTATGTATCAAATATTTCTCAAATAGATTAGCCCTCAATTAAACAATTCTTACTTCTATGAATGTTTTATTATTTTAGGCTACCTGAGCAGAAATCCTCACTTCGGCCTGGCACCAAAGGTAATGTTAGCGATTATAATCGGCCATGTGCTCGGTCGAATCTCATATATGAAGACGTGCGACGCCAAAATTCGAAGTTTGTCATCCAAAAGCCATTTGGGGAACGTTATGAGAGAATATCATTCAAAAAAAGTGTCCGCCCAAGAAACTCTGATGACAAAAAAGTAGTAATTTAGAGAGAAGACAAATTTAATATCCTATATTTTTTAAACCAACGTGACAATTGGTGTGATGAAATTTAACGCAGTTACAGTTGAAAGATTTTTTTTTAATTCTGACTTACTCTTACTGTAACTGACTAGTTTATATAGATATATTATTTATGTTAATATAATATTTGGTACAATATTTTAGGTATATTATTCCTGTGTCTTAAATAATACTTAATTTTCACAGAATATTCATTTATCACATTTACCTCAGAAACAACAATAGTATCCGCTAAGTAAACCTATAGTTACTGACGTTATATTTTCTTTGTTCCTTCGCTAGGTACCGATGTCTTTTTTATCTTTCAAATACTGCAACTACTTGCCCCCCCGTCTTATTTCATTATAACTGTCACACAGAACCTATTATACAGGTTATTGCTTTTCACAGTAGAAATGCGTTCGTAAGTTTTGTTTTATATGATTTCTTACGCAGATATAAAAGGCATAGGATACTTGTTTCTCTATCTATCTTTTTCGTTCTCTTACTTTCTCTTTAAAAAAGAACTAAAGGAGGTTCTGCTAAAAAATATCAATAGAGACTGAGACATATTCGAAAATCCAATTTTAATATAATAAATATTTCATTTTAATTTTGAGGACTAAACAATTTGACATAGCTATGCAATAAGTTTAAAAAAATTAAAATAAATCTTATATGGTTCTTGCAATGCACAGTCCAAAAAAATAGGCTACTTGCAATAATAAAATTATCTATGTTATACGTCAGTGTCAAAAACTGTATTTTCTATCAAATTCGGTAGGGTTAGGACAATATAATAATCTAACATCGAACCAATTTTTGTAATGCGATGAACGACACAAGATCATTTGGTTTTGGTAATGATGGTGAACAACGCCAGCATGCTGCCGCGGCAGTTGTACCTCCGGTAAGCTAATCTTCATAAAGGATTGCTAGATTTAGGCAGATTTTAAGAAAAAAAAAGTTATTCCAAAATACGGTTTCTTGGGTAGGGGCAGTATAAGTTTACGCCGGATGAGCTGAGGGTGCTCGCAGAATGCAACAATGAGAGTTTCTATCAGCGGTCGTTACCATTTGGTACTTTTTTGGGCCTGGGTACTTATGTCGCTGTGCAACAAGGTCAGTTTACCTTATGAAAATTTTGAGCTGTTTTTTTGTGTTTGATACTAACGACACTTAATACCTTAGAAGTTATTCCGAAATGTATTATATAATATTAATTTTAATGAAGATGCTGTTCTATATTGTAAAATTTTCCATTATGTCAAATTGCTATGTGCATGTATATTTTTTTTGTATGTGCATGTATATATTTTTTTCTGTTTAAAAGTTTTATTTATCACTAAATTCGTTGATTTTGACAAATATCGTGAGGGAATGAAGAGAAATAAGGTAAATAAAGCTTATTTAAACTTGAAGACATCTATGTAGTAATTGAATTTTAAAATCTATGTAGGAAAATTGCCTTACTTGGTTGTTAGAATATTGATAATGGTTGTGACAAAGTAAAAATGAAAGCTAGAGTTAAGGAGTTAAGGTTTACTAGCACTTAACACTGCGGAATGAAACTCAATCATATTTGTATTACAAAAGCAGGCTATTCGGGCCGTCTATGGCTTGGGTCCACGTGAGTTGCTACGACATATATTTAAGCAAATAAACGTTTTGACGCTCCCGTCGCTTTACATACTTGAGAACATCATGTATGTACGTAATAATATCCACCTATTTACGAAAAAACAATCCACATCGCGTCGGGGCCGTGGTGACACTCTGGAAGTACCGAGATTTAGATTGGCTAAAACCAGAAAGTCGTTTCTTAGAAGATGCATCAACTTTTATAATAAAATAGGTGACATCCACAAACAACTAAGTATAAACAATTTCAAACAATTTGTAAAAACTACCTTAATGGCAAGGGCCTGCTATAATATCCAAGAATACATAGAGGACAAGGATGTTTGGAAATGACTTGCTCTGCAATTGCAAGACCCCTGGCTGCTGCTGATTTTATACCTAAATAAGTGTGTATAATTGCTTAAAAAAAAATATATATATAACAAAAAGAATAAGACCACAGAGTTTCTTGCCGGTTCTTCTCTGTGCAGGTCAAGTTTAGTGAACCGGTGGTAGATTTTTTTTGTTGACGTTCAATAAGAGCTTAAGTTAGGCCTATATTGAATAAATATACTTTGACTTTGACTTTGAAGAAAACCTGCATATCTAAGAATAAATTTTGGAAAAATAACTTTGAAGAAATGGGAATCCAGGGGATGTGAAAGCACTTCTTTTATTGACAACAAATTGGTGGATGAATTTAAATTATTTTTATGTACCTTATCTTCAAATAAATAATCAAGGCATATAATTTAGTCCATTTGTCATTAATAGTATTAGTCAAAATTTTGTATTGAACTGCATGTACACAAATTTGGTAAAGCAAATTTACAAATTGTTTACTGGACAAATGACATAGATACTATGATTTTCTTGTGACGATTTTGACAACTGAATTTTGTGGATTCTTATAATTGGGAATTCTTGCAATTGAACAATGTTTTTCTTTTTATAACAATTTTTAGGTTTATTATTCAAAAACTAACTAAACTAACTTTATTATGTGAGAATGTAGCGAACTAGCTGGCTGTTCACCTGAGGTTAAGTGATTACCACTTGCCCATGGACATTTGCAACACAACATATGGTTACAGATGCACTTGTTACTTATGACTTTATTTCCTGTTAATCTCTTTACATACTTTTGGGTCATGCAGGTCACTTGAAACCGAATCCTCGTTTTGGTGCATTTCCAAAGATAACATTAGCAGTTGTTGTGGGATACTTTCTTGGCAAGTTGTCATATCAACAAGCTTGTGCTGAAAAACTAATGGCATTGCCTGGAAGTTACATTGGGCAAATTCTCCGGGATCGCCGTGATGGAAAAGTGGGGTAAATAAAATAAATTTACATTTTTATCACAAGTATGTTACTATTTAGTACTTAATATGTTTAGTACTATTAGGTGGTAAGTCTTGGTTCATCAATTCATTATGCTACAGTAACCTAACTTCTTGTTTATTGAAATTTCTAATGATGCCATTTTAAAAACAATTAACTTAGTCTTAAGCCACATGTAGGACTTTACCCTAGTACTTTATTTACAGAGAAAAACATTCACATTGACATTAAAAAATAAATTACACAGACATGTAAAAGTCCAATGAAATTGTTAATTTTAAGTGCTTGACGGTGAAGGTAAACATACTAGGAAACCTACATATTTTCGAAATAATAGAAAAACATATTTTGACAAATATGTGAAGTCGGCCAATATGCAGTGTGGTCATGTGGTGGAGACCTTGGCCCAGTAGTGGGACATTTATATGGTGTTACCTTCATTCAGTGCAGCTAGCATTCTTGACATCATGTCATGTGGGCTAGGACTATACAAATTAGTTGCTTATTAATGTTTTAATTTAATTCAACATTTAAAAGAATCAAATAAAATCATATCGTCTTTGCAGTGTTAAGAAATTTACTGTTGTCCTTGTGACATAAATATTTCTATCCAGGACACCGGCACCTCCAAAACAAACAACAACCATGTTTGGCGCTACCCCAAACGAAATCTATTCAGATGCAGGGCCGGGCAACTCACTTGATCTCGATACCGATCGCCCTCTGTTCAATGATGACTCCTTCAGGCCTGGTGCTGAAGGTACGGAACTGATTGTGTTATTATTTATTGATTAATCAGCTGTCTCTTAAATTTTAATCCTTATAGCTCAAAATAAGGTCTGGTAAATTAAGATACGGGAGTCCTAAGCATTAATATCTATGAGTCTGTTATTAGTTTATTTACATTTTTTATATTGAGTACATGAAATTCATTTTCCTTTAGATATGTGTATCTGAATTATGTTAAATTATGATGATAACACCCGACAAGGTTTGATTGATGTGAATATGTGTGTATTGATAAATAGTGAATAGTATCATATAGAAACCCTTTATATTTAATAAAATTGAAGAAAAAAAAACACCAAATATAAATTTTTAAAAAGCAGTTTTAAAAAGCAGTTCTAACCAAACCGAGCTGAAAGTGCTTGTTAAATGACTAAGAGTTGCTTTCAGTGTAATTATATATAATATAGTAAACAGAAATTAATTCAATTTGCAGTGCCCATTGTAAACAGCCCGGACAACATACCAGCACGTCCGTCACTCTCCTATGAAGAACTCCGTCGTCGAAACCGTGGCGAGTTCGTGGATTCTCGGCAGGATCCTTACAAGTGGGTTGGGTCAATTTTGACCCTAACTGATCATTTAAATGTCCATTGATGTACAACTGAAGCTCTGATTCCGATAGTATAGATTTTTACAGTTGCGTCAGTCTATAAGTATAGACCTGGTTACCTCACTCACCAGGCGAAATGTAGACGGTACAAATACTATTGTTTGGAGCCGTGATAGCTCATTGTCCGGGCGCTCGCTTTGAGTTCACTATACTTGAGCAACCTGAGTTCGATCCCAGTGCTGGCACCGATCAAATTGATAATTATTTTAAGTACTGAATTATCACATCCACAGCGGTTAAGGAAAACATCGTAAGAATGCATCTTTTCGAAATAAAAACAAAAAATGTTTTCAAGGAATGTGAAGTCCACCTATCCGCAGTGGGGCCAGTTGGTGGACTATGCTCTAATACCATCTGTACAGAGGAGGCCTTTGCCCAGCGGTGGGACATATATACGCTGTTACTTTACTATAGAGATGTAGCGGTTTCGTGCAACAGTAGATGCTGCTGCCTGCCTCTGTCATAGCACACAACCAAAACCAGACGAGAAAGTATTTGTTTTTAACATCACAAATTGGCCAGCGATTAGCAACTACTTTACCAAACTCGTGGTTCCAATTAACTCAAGAAGAAATTGTATCTTGGCTTTGGTTGAAATAAATCGATGCCCAGACGAGTAAAGGGGTTCTACTTTTCGTTATAGTCATGTTTATTAATAATAATGTTACTCTTTGTTTTATAAATTTTTCCAGCAGTGGGCATCGAACCCACACCCTCTGGCGCAGGAGGCGGGTACACCACCCACAACGCGATACGGGTCGTCCGTCCTTTTTTTTTTTTTTTTAAATAAATATTTTTAGTTTACAAATAGCGACGTTTCCCGTTTCAGGGTGGATCCGAGCGCCGTCCCGCACGTAACGCGCTCGAGGCCGCAGCCCCCCGCCTTCCCGGCCCCCGCGCCCCCCACCACCAACAAATACGGCGACCAGATGGAGTAGGGGCGGCGGCGCGAACGGACGCATCGGCCGCGTCGGCCCGCAACCGTGGACGGGCGACGGGGAACGCTGCGACAGCGCGGAATATTCATCCGCCGCAATTTCACTCGCTTCGGTCGCATCGCTATTCGCACATACAGACGGGCCGAAAAAGCCCCCGGCCGCTTTCGTACGCCCCGCCCCCATCGGCCCAGAGCGGATGCACGCTAAGCAAAAGTATACAATGTTCACGGTTTATGAATTAGTTTGGATAGTTTTTCGATTGGTGTAACCAGTAAAAATATACATACATACATACATACATACACGGGTGTCTTTGTTTTACCTTTATTTCTCTAATAATATTTTTGTAGTATAGGAAGCGTTAGTGCACCTATGAAGTGATGCAAGTACGTAGTTTATTGGTATCTGGTGGACATCATGACTAATCTTTCGCACCGCCGACTAAAATTTTACAAAATTTTTTTTTCTTTTAAAATTATTTAAAAGAAACGACTTGTCGAATGAAACTATTTTACGGATTTTATCGCGTTTAATCAGATTTTTGAATTCCCGTTGAAATAAAGAAACATCCTAATTTAAATAGAGAAAACGGTTGGGCTTCATCGTCAGCTTGGGATCCCAAAATTTATAAAATTAAGACCTCAAGACACCATAAACACCTTTTGCGTATATCGGAATAATAATGAATAATAAATTTAATGACGGTAGCCAGAGTTAACTCTGACGTTAAGGCGTGAAACAACTCTGTCCCGCGACCGTGAACGATGGAAAGGGTCCGAATCGACGGGAATTTAAAAATCTCAATCAAACCCAATATATTCCGTAAAATAGTTTCATTCCAACAATGTATAATATTCGCTTAAAATCATGATATAGATATGAGAACCGGCTTCAATGAAAATACTATTTGGTAAGCTTAAAAACATTTATTATGTAACGAGTCACCAAGCAATAGTTGCACTTCGGCACACAGCATAGACAATTGTAAAACTAAAGATACAATTATTATTAACTAACCGATTACAATACGTAATGCTACGAGGCTTTCGCAAAAGCATAATCATAAGATCGCATAGCTCATTTCGCAGACAATGGCAAACCGCTCGCAACGCCGTCAAGCGAAATGAAACAACGTATACGAAACACTTATATAATATACAGAAATAATAATCATTACAAACTTGTTATAAACGAAACAACAATACAACTTTACTTATCAGTCACCCGTGCTGTACCTTTTTGGGGTGAGTCAAGTGTCCATACGTTTCGACCGTAATCGGTGACCGACGTTGCGTTCTGTCTGTGGTAAACGTCACGTTGATGTTAAATTAGTGTTACGTAATTACAAAAATAAAAACAAAGAACGAAATATGCGTTCACCAATCGTCGAAACTTCGGGAGGCGATAATAGTAGTTTCTCGAAACTTTCAGTTATCAAAAAAGCTATAAAATATTTTGGATATAATATAGAGGTGGTTTTTATCACAGTCTTGTGCAAGACGAAACGGGTCGACATTGCGATAAAAATAAAATTTTCATACAAATTTGTTAAAGAAACCAGCTAAAATAAAGTGATTGGCTAACTTTACGGTTATTACTACAATAACAACCGTTAAGTTTACAACAAAACGTCAATCACATACACTGGTGTGTGTGATTGATGTTAAGTTTACAACAAAACGTCAATCACATACACTGGTGTGTGTGATTGATGTTTTGTTGTATGATTTTTAGTAAGTTACGAACGGTTTACTAATACGTACGTACAAAATGTACAGAACGAGCGAACATCTAAAGCGTACAGTAAAATATTACGATGATTGTACACGACTACCAAGATGCGGACCGCTGAAGGCCGACAGTTAAATTACATATATCGTTTACTCGAGTTAAGCAAAACACATACCACTAATTGTACCGGCGTGAGTGAGTCGACAAAATTGACGGGAGTCTGAGATTAGCTGCATTCCACTGAAGCGAGGAACAGCGTACTAATAAAACATTGAATGGTCTCGCGTTCTCACAAATTATTTTCTATTTAACATACAACAATCCCGCTACTAAATTTAGAGAGATGTACCGCGCTTTAGTTGCTGCGACTGACACGTAGGTACAATGCTTCCAACTCACTTATGAATACATTTATTATATATGTAATTATGTATGCGTTTATGTACGAAGAATAAACAATGACAACGAAATCGTGGAGCGGAGGCTGGACTATACAGGTTCACGTTTTGGATCTTCGTATGAAAGCGACGTTGGGGTCTTAATGTGAACTAAGATAATAATCGTATCTGCACTCTTCCGATTCAAGCGAGTGACTAACAAGTTGTCGAGAACTAAAAAGATTTATTAAAGTATTAAAAATTCACTCATCGGTCATTTACTACAATACAAATGAAATCAGATCAGAAAGAAATTACCAAAAATGTTCACGAGGTAGGTATTAGCGTACGAAATTTTTAAAAGTACAGCCAACGGCAAATTGTAGGGCAGTTGCTTTCGCAGAATTATCAGCCCCATATCAGCGCTAGAGTGCTTAATGTATTTTTTATTTTTATTTTACCCAAAGGTGGCGATCCACAAAGTCCAGATTCGTTAACTTGATTATTATAGATTAATTATTTGATTGGATTAGTATATTATTAGTAACATTTTGTTTATATACCTATGTTTTCTTTTTCTCCGTCATAACACTATGATAAATAAGCGGTTACAGTAATGGCACTTAAATTAAGTGAGCATATGTCGTGGCGAGAGACCGCCGGGCGCGAATTACTTCCCCAAAATGCCGTATAAAAAATAGTCGAATGACGAAAATTGTCAAATTCCCAAAAATTTCCTTCCTTCTCGATTAGCGCTCGACGGTTTAAACGCCCCGTGCTTCCATAATCGACACGTATACAATTTATTATTACGTAAATAGACAGTAAACATTTTAATATTTGCACCAAAAAGGCGGCTGTATAAGTTCATGTACAGTTTTCGAAAAGTTGAAACTTTAAGACGAGTGAGTTTAAAATTTAGTTATATAGACGGAAAATTATTTTAGATTCTATGAACAATCAATCGCCTGTAAAAATCGGTCATTTTAATCAATCATTTACTGTTTGCGTTATCGTGGCGTAATTAAATTAGAAGGGACATTGACTCAAATTACCTCTTTTACAGTTTACATTACGCAACGTTGAGTCTTAATGTGAAATAATATAATAATCGTTTCCTCACTGATTCAAGCAAGTTACTTACAAATTATTAAGAATTAAAAAGATTTAAGTTTATTCATTGGTCATTTACAACAAGCCAAATGAAATCAGATTAGAAGGAAATTTCCAAAACCTTTAAACTGTTCACGATAATTTCAATTCAGAATTTTTTTCTCATTCTCCATTAGTTGTTTTCCAATCAACGTTATAATTTCAAAGAAAATTCGTTTGAAGTAGTTTTTAAACGCCATCTACAATTTATTCACAACAACAAAGGATCGAAATCCTCTCCCTCCCAAATGGCAAAATCATTTAAATAATAAACTCGTCTAAGGTTAGACTACCAAGACCATGAAACCAACATAAATCTATAATATTACAATACAACGAAATATATTATATAAGAACATTGAAAATATAGGTAATCAAAAAAATCTTAATATATTAATAAAAGATTTACACTTCACTTAATAAATGGTTAACGAATCACACAAAAAAAAATTAAAGCTATTAAAAGTTTTGTTTAATAAAATTATTCTAATAAAAAGAGAAAGCAAAATATGCGTCACGTCTTCAAAAATTTCGATTTTATTCGATCAGCACCGTGAGACGAATATCACATTACGCGATGTAAATTTTTTTTAAAATATTTTGCTTTCTATAAAGAAATACGCATTTATAATACGTCGAGAATTGAAACTAAACATTTTAAAACACCAACGATCTTATAAATATAAAAAAAAAACGTAACGACACTATACATTTTCTTTCTTCTCTTTCTATACGACCTACCTGTGGATTCACGTCGTTTATAATACGTTTTTATAGGTAACTCATTACCAGCATGCTCTCAAGAGGTAATTTGCGTTATTTTAATGAGGAACAAAAAAGTAGTTTATCAAGGGACTGAAGAGAAGGTAATTTCCTAATTGCTATCATCTTTATAATTAATAAATGTGCTCGATGTTCCCGTAATATGTATATGTAAGTTTTTAAAATTGAATTTTAGATGTTAATGACATATGCATCAGAGGTTTTAAGTGTAAACAGATTTGATTAAGAGATCTAGGAGCACCTTTTTATACTCTGTGATCCGAAAATATTGTTTTATTACATAGATATCTAAAGATATAATTTGACAATTAGCTAAAGGGAATTTCATCATACCGGGTGGTAACAATATCCAGCCACTAGGTTTTTATTCAATCAAAGGACCGTGAGAGTTTAAAATATTAAAATAGATCGAAACCACGGGTGCGCGTCGCGTCATGTGAATTGATTTAATTGGCCAGAGCGAACGTCGAAAACTGGATCGGAGTAAACAGCCAGAGCGAACGTCGAAAACTGGATCGGAGTTAAGAGCCAAAGCAAACGTCGAAAACTGGATCGGAGTTAAGAGCCAGAGCAAACGTCGGAAACTGGATCGGAGTTAAGAGCCAGAGCAAACGTCGAAAACTGGATCCGAATTAGGAGCCAGAGCGAACGTCGAAAATTGGATCGCAATTATCGAAAGCTAAGGTGGTGCTATGGTGTTTTGGGGAAATTGCTGAGATTGCGTACGCTCCTCGCGCTCCGGGTTGGGGACGCCTCAGGGCAGGGGCCACGGGAGGCCGGAGAAGTTGACCGGCCCGCCCAGGCCCGCGTCCGCCTCCAGCAGGCTCATGATCACCGCCATCGCGGCCTCGCCGTTCCCGTCCAGCCCCAGCGAGGCGGCGGGCGGCGAGGCGGGCGGCGGGGTGCCGTGCGCCCTCAGCCCGTTCACGGGCCCGGTGGGCGGCGGCGAGTTCGCGCCGCCGGCCGCGGCGAGCGTCACGTTGTTGCGGATCTGCATGTAGTTGTGCGCCATTTGCGCGCCGAGCACGTTGTCGCCGTGCACCGGCTGCTGGGGGACGGGTGGTCGGCGCGTTAGGCAACTCGTCTGCCAGCGACTGGCAAGAGGGGGGCTTACTGGAGGGGGGGGGGGGTGTTACCTCTAGTTGCTATCTCACCAGATGGATTTGCGTGCAGTCATTCCAGATGAACGCAGTTGTTATAACGTATATTATAACGAGGCGAATCTCGTGCGTGGAGGGGGTCGGCAAGAAGGGCGGACGGTGCAGATCGGGTCGTTGACCAATAGCGTAGCAGCACCGCTGATTCTTGCCGGTTCAAGAGCTTATACCCAGTGAGCTTTTGACAAAGGCGCCTCACCTGCTGGTCGAAGAGCTCGTCGTGCAGCAGGTCGGCGGGCAGCTCCGGGGAGAATTCCGAGGAGGAGTCGCGCAGCGCGTCCTCCGCGATCGCGTTACCTATCTTGTGGGACTCTAGCTGCGAATCGATGAGCCGTTGCATTTCTGCGTCGCCCTCTGAAAGCGCACCAGCTATGTCACAGTCGAACGCGTCCACTAGCGAGTCCGCGCCTGCGAACAAACGATGCACCTTCGCGTCGCGATCGTTGCCCGGCTGCTCGGTTCGCTGTTGGTGCTGTATCTGTGTGTTGAGTGCTCGTAGTGGTCGTAGTGGTCGGAGTGGTCGTAGTGGCCGTTCTGATGTTGCTGTGTTGTTTGTGGACATTGTTCGGTCGTGGTGTTGTATAGTGTTCGTATTGTTTAGTGGGACGCTGTACTGGACGCGGTCGAATGTATAAAACATTATTAGGTTATTTATATAAGCTCTTTATTCGTAGTCTTTTTCCCCCCTGCGGTGGACAGATAGAGACGGACGAGAATCCATAAGTGTTAATGAGTTTAGAGACAATGGTTATGGAAATTAATAGCAAACATTGGTACCCGAACTATCAAAACACGCGTAGCGTAACTGTACATAAATTACAAAGTCCACCCCCACAAGATATCCGGAAAAACAAACAAACGTTACTGATAATAGCAGAACTAAAAGGACAACAGATTATAAATAAAATGAACCAAAGGTATCGGGAGATTTAAGAAAATGGAACGGTTGAGGAGTTAGTAGTAATATGATTAGTACAGTTGGTGAACAAGTTAGTGTTAAGACAGCGGGAACACGATCATTAGTAGTACACAAAAAAGGAACAAGAAGGTTAGTTCGTTAGTTGGAATTGGGCAGGCGCATGCGGGCGGAATAGCATGTCTAATGCTAGAGCAATTTTGCTTTAAGCAACCGGCGATATTCAACGTCTTCTTTACGGCAGCGGGAAGGACACCTGTTGCGCACGACCTGTAATTTTGTATGTTACGAAATGAAGCCCAGCTCAGACTCCAACTTTTCTCCTCGCCCAACTTTTTCTCGTTCGAAGCTGCTAAGTCTGGATAAAAAGAACACAAACTGTCGTCCTGTTGAAGAGAGCTGTGATTGGTTAGCGTGACAAGGTAAGCAGGGTAAAGTCCGGATAAATGCCGTACGACCCTGTGGAAGCGAGCTGTGATTGGTTAGCGCGACAAGGTAAGCAGGGTAAAGTCCGGATAAATGCCGTACGACCCTGTTGAAGTGAGCTGTTTGGTTAAGCGTGACAAAGTAAGCAAGGGCCGCCAACCCTGGCAGTGACAAGCTAGGTATGTCACACAAACTCACTCTGCTTGAATATATCGTATGGCGAGAGCGGATCTGGCTCGAGGGTGGCGAAAGTTTCCACCACCTCGGTATTGTTGGCGACCAGGCATTCGACCTCCTTCGACCACGGGTTCCTGGAATTGGCGCAGTGTTTTCGACTGAGAAGTGAATCAAATTTGTTAGGACTTCTTCCGTATAAGCTTCCAAGTCAAACCAACGCCTGGACGGCGATCATATGACTGATGATATGAGGCTTTCTTAAATAAATAGACGGCGCGATTGGCGAAGTCGGTCGTGCACCTGCCTCTTGCGCCAGAGGGTGTGGGTTCGATCCCCGCTACTGGAAAAATATTGTGTGATGAACACGGTGTTTTCCCAGTGCCTGTATGATGCATACTGGACAATATGTATTTATTTGCAAAAACAAAGTATTTTTAAGTGTGTTTATCAATTATCTAGTACCCATAGTTCAAGCATCGCTTAGTTTGGGACTGGAGAGCGTTGTGTGAAAGTGTGCCCTAAATATTAATTTTATATTTATTTATAAAACAATACCTGAACGGCTTGAAGTGGGTCGTGATCTTCGCCATGGTGCCGTCCTTCCGGCGGAAGTAATAGGGCGACGTGTGCATGGCGTCGCGTTGCAGCAAGGCCGTCTTGTGTGTGCGCGCCACCATACTCAGCTCGGGGGCGCTCACGTACTCGTACAGGCTGGTGCCCAACAGCTCTTGCGGTAGAAAGCCCAAGGCGAGGGTCACTCTGGAAACATTCAATGCCACACTTCAGATCTAGAGCCGCGTGGCTCCTCCCCCTTTTCGAGTCAAAGTGCGAACAAGCTATGACACTACCGTGGAAGACGACAAACGGGGACATAGTAGTGCCGCGCAATGGTTCGCAGACACCACAGAAGACCGGCGTGAAGTGGAAGTGTTGTTTCTTTTGCGTTTCGTCTGTTGAGCGAGGTGGCCGCGGCCCAATTTATTAAAAGGTGGCAACGCAACAGCCCTGCGGGCGTTGCAAACGTCCATGGGCGGCGGTTAGCACTTAACACAAGCGAAAAACCTTTACCACCATCACACCTTATGACTGTGGTAGGGCCACGCAACAGTTTCCACTGTTGCACGAATGGACAGGTCCACGTCCGGACCGACCTCACAGAAGACCGGCGTAAAGTAGAAGTGTTACACTTCTGCGTTCCGTCCGTTTAGCCAGATTAAAAGGTGGCAACGCATCTGCGACCCTGCTAGTGTTGCAGATGCCCATGGGCGGCGGTATTCACTTCACGCAGTCGAACAGCCAGCTCCCTTGCCACCTGCCCACACAAAGAAACGCCATTCTGACCCCATCACGCGGCGGTGCAGCGTACTCACCTCTGGTCGACGAACAGGAATTTCCCGTCGGTGGTGTGACGGGAAACGTATTGCAGTGGCCGCGCCGGTTGCATCGTTGGCGTGGGCACCAGCTGGTTGTGCAGTGGCGACAGGTCACTGAGCACTCGGCCCACCGCCACGAGACAAGACAGGCTGCCCGGCTCCGCCTCCTCGCCCGCGTCATCACCGGGACTGGCTCCGGAGGCCTCCATCTCGGCTGACGCCCAGGACTTAAGGTATCCTAATTAGACAATTCATTAAGTATTTAATATGTAAGAAATCAAACAACGCATTAAGTAATTTCTCGTTTTGGTATTTATCCAGTTTGCCTAATAATGCAGACGCATTCATTCAGTCACTTCTACTCTTGGCAGTTGTCCACCCCGTCGGCCCTAGTCCCGGGCGTATTGAATCCAGTTAAGGTACCGTGGTAAAGACGACTTTGAGATTGAGTTCACAGACGCTCGGAGTGTGGTTCCTGTCATCCATCTTTGTGGACCCGTCCAGTGTTTCCTAAGCAAAAAGGGTATTGGGAAAGGTATACTTTCTCAAACTTTTCACATAACAATTAGCATGTTCACTCCTATACAGGGGTGAGTTCCGTAAGGAGTCCCGGACCACCTCACAACGTACTGAGGTCAACCGTCGAGGTAAAAATTACACATCTCTGGCCGTTTCCCCATGAGACATTTGAATTTTAAAGAATACCCCACGATAATAAGATTCATCTAGCTTCCCAACTTCCGATTTCAATAAAATCTGTTTATTTTATTTTCTGTACAACTTATGTTCAGTAAAGCAATAAAATCTAAAAGTTTAATTTGACATTTTTCTTTGTCATTTAAGAAAAGTATTCAATTAACAACATTTTTTTTATATGAGAAGGTGCCAAGCGAGCCGGCGGATCACCTGATTGTAATTGCCAACCGCCGCCCATTGATTGCACTCCTAAGGTTGCAGCAACAGCCCGGCTACCTCGCTCACCAGGCCAAAAGTCAAAGGGCCGTAAGCGAGACCATCAGATAAAGTGAATAAAATCCGGCCGGTATCCGTACCTGTGCACTGCACCACGCAGTACTTCCGCTCGTTCTGCTTCCTCCTGATCTTGGTGCCGTTGCACGCCTCCTCCTTGATGAGAGTGCCCACGGTGCCGTTGGGGCGGCACTTGATGCGGCAGAAGAAGGAGCGCCTGGCGCCCGGGCAGAGCCGGGACGCGCCCGTCACCACGTCGGCCTTCACCGGTAGCATCGCTGCGCATGATTATGGCCGCGTGTGAGTCGTGGGATCGGGTGCGACAAGCACACAGCAGTTGCGGAAGCCAGGGTAAACAGCGTTGTTTACCCTGGCCCGGGTGTGTACCCGTTTACAAAAAGGGCGGCGATCGCGGAGCAGCGTTGTCCCCTGGCCCCGCACTAGGCCCGTTAAGTAGGTGCCGGAATCGGTTACCATGCAAGACAGCGTTTTAGCAGAATGGAACATCGCGAAGTAACTCGCGTAAACTTGTTTAAACTGTAGTCGTATTTATACTTGTTTGTACTACATATGAGAGACGGTATTATCGTATTGTGGGGGTAAGGGTCAAGAGGCAATAACAATGATTTTTTTTTAAATTCGCCAGTAAGCAAAGAACGTACCATGATACACACAGCTTCTAAGTACTGTACGTATTGATAGGCATACCTTTTTGCAAATAGGTGTATTAAAAAATCAAATTTTACATTTCCAAATAAAAGTTCATAATACGAATTGTATCAATGGTCTTGTAACTTTTATATTCTTGCGGAAAAGTATGCTACTTTGAGAGTCAGTATTCGCCCTTGAACGTCGGAAATGTTCCATTGGATTTCGCAAATGCAAATAAAAGGCAAGTCGTCTCGCAACAAATCGCTTAAGAAGCAATCGTATCGAAGTAAAATTTTATCCGTCTTGCCTTTTTCTACTGCGACGAATGATACAAGCATAACAACAAATTAACCAAATGTATGGAGTAAACAACAGAAAATTTCGAAATGATAATGTGTAAATAGAAACAAGTTGGTGCGTGGCAATTATTTAAGCTTAATTAATTTTAGGGCACGATAGTAGCAAATAAACTAAAATAAGACGAATTTTGAACTTGTCAATTATGATCATGTAATGAGTGATTATTATCAGTAAGAGTAAATATTAAATGAAACTACTTTACGCATTTTATTGCGTTTTTTATTGTTCGAAACGTCGGGAATTTAAATCAAAATAAAAAAAAAACGCAAAGTAATTTCATTTAATATGTATAATATTCGCGTAAAATCAAGAAAACAATAAGTGAGAGTAAATTTAAAATGGGCAAGAATTATGAATGTAAAAAAGTGAAATTTTAAAAGTGCGTTTAACATAATAATAAAATAAATAATAATTAGCAAATATCAAATGACGTACGGAAGAATTGTGAATGCGTGAGTGACCAGGCGGTACTAACTTTTCGCGTCGATGAGACGCTCGCGCGGATTGAGGTCGGCGGCAGATAGCTGCTCCTTAACCTTCGCCACATCTTTGGGATGCAGTATGTCGAATAAACTCTGGCCCAAAAGTTCCGACTGAAAAATACGACACAGAACAATGTTTAAGAACCACTGCGCTACTTGATACCAAAGCGACCATCTCTGCACACAGAACAATCATTATCTTTAAATGCGGCGTCATGGTCGTTGTCCGATGATCATAAAGTAACATGGCGCTCGCGAAGGCCAGATCTACGCTACAATGTAAGCGACAGCGAGTGCAGAACAACAATCTGGTTTGTACTTATCATCGTGCTATTTTGAGTTAACAACGAAAACAGCTTGTATATCAGCACAATAAATTGTTGACAACATCGAATAACGTCTTTAACGTCGTTACCTACAGGCTAGTGGAAATCTCCGTGTGTACCAACCGAACTGCGCAGCGTTTCTCAGTCGCGGGCCTTTCGCCCGTTTCGACTCGACTCGAGCGTCTACGGGCGTGCTAAATCGCGGACAGACGACGCACCCTCGGCGCTAATTGACAACTGCAAAAGCTCACCTGGTCGTAGTTCAACTTTCGACTGACTGACGTCGAGACGTAGAGGAGCCTCCCGCGGTCGCAGCCCAGCACCATTAAGAAGGTGTCGTGGGCCGCGTGCAGCACTAGAGAGTTCATCTCGCTCTCGGATAGGAACGAGGGTCGGGGCCGAGCGGTCAACGGGCCAGCGGAGAGGGCGCCGCGCACCGAGCGCAGGTGCTGCACCGCCATTCTCAGCACAGTCAGCTTGTCCAGCTTGCGAGACATAGCCCCGCACATGGGTATCATCGAGCTCAGCTCCGATATATATGTGTTCATCTTGTCGCGGCGGCGTTTCTCGATCTCGCTGTGATTCTGTCTGCCAGTCAAACAGCGCAGTGTTCGTTGTAATAAACCGTAAAACAAATCGCCGCGCTTAAAAATCGCATTTAACAAATGAATGACGAAGGAACCGGTACGTTCCTTCAATATTTATGTATTTAGCTCGTGACTACTTGGCAAGAGTAACTGGTCGATGTTAATACCCAATGTACTAGACTTTAAAACAAATTCATAAAGTCCATGTAGAGGTTTTCTGTAGGGGTGTAAACAGAGGCTATTTAGACACCCACAAAAATTTCTATACAAAAACGCTTATAAATTTACTTACTGTTCTGGCCATGTATTAAAGTGTTTCATTTTACCAACCCGTGGAAGTTCAAAAATTCAGACTGCATGTGAACAAAAGACGCTGCAAAGCTTTCGAAATTGATATAATTAAATGAAGAATTATATGCGAGCAGAATAAATTGAAAATATATCTTTCATACAACTTATATTGACTTTGGTGTGGAATAATTCGGGAAAAACGGTACACATACTTCTTATCAGGCAGGGTGCGTGTTGATCGGGATACTTCTGTGCCATCGTCGTCAAAAGTGCTGCTATTGCCACTGATAAATAAAACAATAAAATAATAAATTTGTCACTTATGTACGTTCAAACAATGGCAGGGTTAGTTTTATGCTCTTTCTTAATATTTTAACAGGACGGGCTAGCCATTCCACCCTGGTACGACATTCTTACCCAAGCTTCTCATACACTGTGGTAAAGACACGCAGCAGCTTTTGTTGGTATCGAGCAGTCGAGAGAGGGATAGATTTACGGGACGGCCATCGTGAAATGGATGTATGCATTTCGCCCGCGAGCCGATTAACCGTGTATCCCACGCGGTTGTCACGAGCCGCGGTAATCGCTTAGCAACCGCCCAAAACGTCCCAATAAAGGCCGCATCAGAGAGTATGAGGGCGTAGTCCACCACGCGGCCCCACCGCGGACGGGCAGACTACGCGTATCATCGAATATTTTTTATATTATATTTTCGAAAGCTTTCGGGTTTCTTCGCGCATATTTCCTTCACCGATAAGCATGTGATAATGTACACTTGACAATTTTTTGGTGCCGGCACCGTTATTGTAATTCGGCCAACACGGCTCTACGGCTATCATTTAACAGTGCTTGAACCACCTGCTCGCTTGTCACCTTCTTCGAAACAAAATTAATATTAGATAATGGCGGCCTATAAGGGGCTCTCTTCAATCTTCGTCTATAATTTCCACCAAACTTTATTAATGCGCCGTAAATAAAAGGGCGAGGACGTTGCGAACCGGAATACGGTGCGTAGATACAAAACAACCGGTGTAATCGTGTAATCGAAGTGCCTTCCCCTCGAGGCGATCTTGGTATGGAACTTTAATAAGCAATTATATATTGCCCCTCGGATGGCACCCGAATTTTCGATCAAGTATCATCTACGTCTATGGGCGGGAATTTGTAGAAAGTCAACATAATACCCATCACTGGTTTCACTATTAATAGTTCGGACCTGTTTAATAAGACCATTTGCGGCCTATGATTTTGCAGCCAAATATTTCCCCTAATTTATCCCCCAAGATATTTATATAGAAACAAGTATATTTTCTTATGGAAGATAGAAATGATGTGAGAGAACATGTGTCATATAACTAACAATAAAATAAGAGTATTGTCGTGGTTTTGCAGTAGTTTGATGTTTTGTAAAGAAAGCTGAAACGTAGTATTGAATAGATGAACACTTTGAAAGCTAAAATTTATAGATATGATTTTTCTATTTCAATATCCATTTCATTTAAATTAATACATGATAACATAATATAATCTAAAAGAATGTGACTGTGGTAGGTCAATAGTCGGGCGATCGCTTATAATTGCTTACACTCGAGCAAGCTGAGTACAAATCCCTTGCTGGCACCAATGAAATAGTCAGCACTTAGCTGAATTATCACCTCCTCAGCGGCGAAGGAAAAATCGGGAGGAAACCTTCATATTTTCGATATAATGACAAAAAATATATTTCAAAGTCAGCAGTGGCGTCGCATAGTGGTCTATGCCCTAATACCCATGGATCAGAGGAAGTCTTTGCCGCTGTTTCTTTTGTATGCTCTTTTGGAACAAAAAGTTGAAGTTTAGGTACATGTGTCATAAAACTAACAATAAGATATAAGTATTATCGCATTTTTATGTTTTAATATTCATTTTATTTCAATGAATAGATAACAAAATAAAATAATTAAGCCAAAAGTTGTCGAAAAATTTTTCGGCGCTCACGGCGCGATTATGATTACAGTAACTCCTAAGCTCGAACATCTTTAACTTTTTATATACTTATAACTAACTTTATCTTTTCTCTAATATTATTAAAACAAACATTCTTTCAAGGCACATAATTCGCTATTACTAAACATTTACAAATTACACTCGAATAAAAAGTTTGTAGCAGTCTATAAAAAGGCAATGTTGGACCAAATATTTTTCATGCAACGCCGTGGCGAAGAACTTTTGTTAACAAACAATAAAAAACAAGTTTATAGCAACTGGGGTAGCAAACAAATCTAAAGCAAGTTGGTAATATGGCACAAAAAGGATAAACTTTTCGCAGAAGTCGACCGAAAGGTACGAAACTAAAGGGGTTGGTGATATCACGTGATACGTAAGTTTTAAAGGTCAGTAAATTTAATTGTACTTAAGAATTATAGTTTGTATTTCACAAAATATTCTCATGATAACTGTATTTTGTTACTTCCTAACTGATTGTCTGAATATTTAAATATAAAAGTACCTGTAACTTGTATAAAAACCCGCCTTGTCTATAACATTTCATTGGAAGTATAAGGTAGGACGGAAAGGAGAGAATTCTACTTTCCGTACAGATTATTATATATATATATATATATATATAATCGGAATCTCGGAGATTTTCATAAAATTTAGTATGTGCGTAGATTCTGGGTCGAAGATCAATCTAGATATAATTCGAATATGACGGTAAATTTCGTCGAAAAAATATTTATAATAGCTCGGTCGGTATTCGGGCGGCCCCGAAACAGAAGGGCGCGGTTCGTGTCACGATCATTTACACACTTATTTTTTTTACTTTTTTTTTTCTATACTAGATCATTGCTTTCTGTATTTTTTATTTTTTTTTTATTTCCAAATTACACGATTTACCAAGAAAAAACGGCTATATCTTTAATAACGAAAAACAAAACCGACTTTGACTATCGCGGTCTGTTTTCATTTTATACTTGAATTTCAGGAACTCCCTGAGTAACCCTTTTCATGGTTCATGGTTCACTATAAAAGTAAATATAAAACTAAGAGAAAACCGGAGTGAAGATATTTCAAATCAACATCCATGTTTATTCCAAGCGGTGTTTTAATTATCCCCTTTTATTGTTCTTTTATCCAATCGCCCTTTCTGCTTACATTAATAGTACAGTACAATCTTATATATAAAAATGTATTGCTGTTCGTTAGTCTAGCTAAAACTCGAGAACGGCTGGACCGATTTGGCTATAAAATTGTATGGAAAATCGAAATAGCAACAATTTTATTTTCCTATACAAACTGTACCTGTCAACTTGTCAAATATGTCGGTGTATATTTTTCCATACACACTGTACCTGTGTCTGTGTAACCTGTCAAACAGTTTATGCATGGTTCCGATTCCTCTAGAAATAATAATTTATATTGCAAAACAACGTTGGCCGAGTCAGCTAGTTAAAGTATAAATAAATATATAAACTACTGCAATATATTTTGCGTAGGTAATAAAATAGTCGAAAATATGATATCTGTATTTTGGGATTGGAACGTTTGCATAAAAGAGTAGTTATAGTGTAAATGGGTCGTGAAAAAGGTTGAGTGAAATTTCTTTAACAGTTACAACTGATTTCCTATAAAGGTTTACAGAGCGGGCAGGTGGAACTTTTCGGTAGCAATAAGTTGCTTTGATTTGCTCCATGGCAACCTCTTAGTGAATAGGGATGTCAGTTGTGATTTTTTTTACGCACATTAAATCTGTATAATTAATTGGAGAGTATAATGAGATTTATAAACTATCAACTCGATCAAAACGTATGCGTCGTATCTTATCTTAATAAATAAAAATTAATTTTGGTAAACGTATAACTCAAGAATGGCTGGACCAATTCGGCTAATTAATTTTTAGTGTTCCTTAAGGTCCACGGAAGGTTTTAAAAGAAATTAAAAATATAAATACTATATAAAAAAGTCTGGGAGGTTAAAAGTGGAAGACGGGTTTCCATCTTTTAATAAAGTGGGTCCGGTTTACCTCATAAATCGGACGAAACGCTTGAGTATATAAGGCATCTATCGCTCTAAGTCCAAGTTGGCCTTCTGGTAAGGTCGTGGTACTTCCCCGGGTTACATTCGTGCAACAGTAAACACTGCTCCGTGGCCATACGGAAGCTAGAGAAATATTTTTTTACTGCTTAATCAAGTTTTCCTTACTGATTAATACAGCGTGTCGTTACCATCGCGGCAATAAATGAACACACGCCTAACGCTACTTGCCAATAATCATAAAAAAATATTAACGTTAAACAAAATCCATAATTAAAAAAAATATTTTTCAAACAAACTAATTAAGTAAAAAAGAAACAAAATTTGTAACATCCTATACAACTCGCGCCACAGCGTCGTATTACAAGCCTCTCCTTCTAACAGTATGTTTTGTCTCTTTTAAATTCATTCAACCCATTCATATGCTTTGTGACCTTTACAAATGAACTTTACGTTACGCTTTTATAGGTAAGGGTGTTCTAAATTTCTTTGTTTTGGAAAATTTAATAACTCTGTAAATATTGACGTTTAAAGAATTTAAATGTTTAATACAACTTTAAAAAGTTATCCCCTATATGTTTGTTCATTTATTGTCGCGATGGTAACGACACGCTCTATATACTGCGCGAAATTTGCAAGTAGTTTTTGTTCACACAGATCTTCAATTTGCGTGACCTATAAACTATTAAATCGTTTAAAATAAAAATGAAATAGTCTACTTGTTAATATCACATTTTGCCGCGGATCGGAACAAACAGTTTCCACAATAAAGTCCCTTTCCAAACCTATCCAGTTTTGTAGATCGCCCCGGCTACTCTGTAGATTTACACAGATTTTATAGTTAGCGAGATAGTTTGTCATATACATATAGCATTTAATCGACACTATAAACTTGTTTCGTCGGAAAGTAGGTATTGAATGATATTTTGCTTTCGATTTCAATACTATTAAAGCTTCATCGAACGCATAACTCGTGAGGTAGCCAGTGCAAACATGGATACGATAGGAGTAAATGTAATTAAATAATGCTATGCTAATGTTCTTTTTAGTGTGTGTTTTAATTGGAAACAGCATATATCCATACTCTCTACAGTTACAAAGTTTTAGAACTTATTTTTTTTATTTTCAGCGGATCGACGCGGGCAGTCTTGCGTAAGAGCTGGTTTGTTTGATCAGGATCAAGTGTATTGCAGTGTACCCAATGTTTTATGTATTTAAAGGCTTCTTGATCCCGAGCTAATAAGGTCAGGTCGTTTTTGTACCAAGACCAGTATGTACGGACCCGTCGTAAGCGTAGACCGTTTCCGTTAATTTGTTAAAGAGTAATAATTTCCCTAGTAAAAACCAGTTAATTAGACAGTTCTTGAAACTGTACTCAGCTACAAAGGCACCGTTAAAATGTTTTAACAAAATCCAACAATAACGTTGTTAGACGTCATTCAGTACAAGAGAACGTAACCCGTCGCCAACTTGAAGCTTTACCGATAGACCTAATTCTTCTCCGAGGCGTGCTCAAATGTAGTACCGAGGAACAACGGCGCGTTCCGTAGCAGATCCCGGAGTCCCTCTAAACGTACAGGCACAGTAAGTGGCCACCGACGGAGTTTTAGTGGGTACGAACCCCACATTACCCTGTCATGTGGTCATGTGATATGTCATGTGAGAGGTGACAGGGTATTTTTAAAACCACAAAAAACACCTAATCGATTAGGTAGGACGCTCCGCATTTTTCAAGTACAATATAACTGCCATGAAACAAATGTTTTAATACGGTAAATATTTCCATGATCCTAGAGTGATGATCAAATCTCTATCATGTAGTGAACAAACTGCTCCAGACCTGATACTAATATCAAGGACGATCAGCGCAGGTTTGGCCACAAAGGGAGATACTAAATCAACTATTTACTTATCACCTCTATAACAGGCTACCTGATGATGATGAGGCCATCACGTTTTGCAGTGTTGAAATTCAAGAGCTTGGGTGACGAGACAATATTCATCATCTCCCAATACATCTATTAAAACCGTTACCGCGTAAATTTACAGACAGCCCTGACTACTTCGCCGGGGTCCGGCAACCATTTAGTTGATTGGTTTCATTGTTCAATTGTCGCTTTGACATGGCAGAAAAGGGGCACAATTTCGCGGTTTCTGTAACGATCGATGGCGGCTGATTTATTTACAAATCTGCCACGCCCATTGCGCTGCAACCATCAACTTAGACGTAGCAAGGTGGCAATTATAGCTTCTACGCGTGCTGCAGTCTCGTTCGTTAAATATTTCACTAACTACGACTCGGCTCGGACCTGACCTGGTTTACAGTTCAGGACATGTTATTGCTTTTGGTATTTGGTTAGTTAAATTTATTGTCTAATCTAGAGCAAGATTACTAATATTATAGAAAGTACAATTTTTTATAACGGTCTTTTTTTGAAGCCTTAATATTTAGTTGGCACTGTTATTAACCGCTTCAAATATGTCCGTAAACAATAATTAGCACTTTAACGGTGACTTTACGCCACGGCTTCACATGATTTGTATGGGAATTACTTTTAGTAGTAGTATAAGTTATAGTAACGAAAGAGCATTAAAAGTAAAAATAAAATAACAGCATATATATACGTCCCACTACTGGGCAAAGACTTCTTCTTCACAGTGGTATTAGGGCACGGTTCACCAAGCGACCACCGCGGATTGGCAGTCTTTGCATAACTTCAAAATATATTTGTTTAAATATGTATTCCACGCGATACTTTCTTCCTTCATCGTACAACACGTGATAAGGCATCACAGAAAGTTACTACTAACAATTTCATTGGTGGCTGACGAGATTAGAAATCAAGTTGATCGATTGTATTGAAAACGCGAACGACAGAAGACTGAGCTGTCGCGGCTGGTAAAAAGCATTAATTAATCTCCATTTCAATTGTAGAAGCAGCCGTAAAGTGGACACAAACACAATAAAGAAATACTGGATATCCATTCTTCTGGGACGAAGTTCTAGAAGGGTTGTGTAACATTGAAGCGATTGATACTCACAATGATGACGATTTTCGCTTTCTACTGGTGCTGTCAGACACTGCGATAGACGATGTCGACGATGCGACCATGGAAGTTTCGCGGCTCGGCATCTCGTAGCTCTCCGAGCTACTGGAACAAGTGTAACTAATTAGAACTTCACAAATAAATCAACCTCGTTCAACACCAGAGTACTAGGCTAGTTGATGACTCCGTGGCACCGTGGCCAAGGTATTGGCTTCGGCGTCGGGGGTCGTGGGTTCAATTCCCACACGGGACAACTATTTGTGCAACCCACAGATAGTTGTTTCGCATCTGGGTGTTTGTCCGCGTGAAGTTTATGTTTGTAAAAACGTCCTTACAACACAGGATAAAGTTATCCTAAAGTAAGGGAAATGTTTTAAAATAATACTACAAACTACAAAACTACAAACTACTAGGCGACACTATCTAGTTGATGTAACATACAATACGCTCGGATAGCTAAACAGAAGCAACAACAAATAAAGCGCTCTTAATGGCATGCGGACTAATGCAGTTTTACTGAATATAATCACGTTTGGCTTAACCTCAAGGGTCGTAGCACATTGAACGCTGATTTGCCTTTGGAGGATTGTATTCTTGTAAGTGGACTTGCGACTAAGGTATGCGAAAGTAAAGAGAGCATTGAGTATTATCAAATTATTAATTTTCTAGAGTACATAAAGGCTCTTTAATATTTTCAAAGCATGCACGACAAAATATTTTTGTACTCCATCAAACTAGTTTTCCTTGAATTTTTGATATAGTGATTTAACAGCCCGATTAAGCTTAGGTCGAGGCTGGCATATAACAATATATAAATAAACATATTAAATAAAACACACCACATAACTAATATAAAATATTCCACACAACGGATAAGCAAATTGCCTTAATCTGTATCATAATACCTTTCACAATTGGTACAAATAAGCACATTTTCAGATAAAAACCAAGATTGCACATTTATAAAACATAATTACAAATATTCTTCAATACAGAGTACCAGTCACTGCGTAAGCGGTGTTGACCAGTTTGGTACAAACAACTAAAGCATAGATAATGGATTCTAAACAGACAAGAAAGGTTAAAACAACGACGGGTGAGGTTTGGCCTATGAGCCAGCGTAAGCGGGTGAATCGTCTCAAGGTGCTTAAGAGGGTGGGGGGGGGGGGGTGCTCACAGGTGGTGGGTCTTCCTCTTGCGCATTCCGTTGAGGAGTTGCGTCGGGTGAGGCATCGGCGCGGGCGGCTGGGCAGGCACGTGCGCCGCCAACAGCGCACCATTACACCCGCCGCCCGCGCCAGCGCCCGCTGTCAGCTCGTAAGGCGCCGTCCTCGCCCCGCAAGAGAACATTAAATATGGTGATTGTTTTCAAGACGAGACGACGGGGCCCCAGTCGTGCCAGTGGCATCTGGTAGCCCATCAGGCGCTAACCAGTTCAAGCAACGGTGGTTATGCCCTCGTAACAGGCGGCTCAGCAATTGCCACCGTCTCCATAGAGGTATTGATGGAACAGCACCGGTTCCGGGTCCCCAGCTAACACCACTGGCAACTCGAGAGGCCCTAAGCGATTATATAGGTATACGATACCACATAACCGTCTCTTCAACCAAAACAGAAGCATACCAACTCGACGAGAAACAGTTTTGTTATCGTTCAGAAACAACCGTTATAAAATAGTGTAAGAATAAGTGATAAAAAACGTGTTGAAATTCTAAAAAAAACTTTATCCATTTCTCCGTAAAACACTTTTGTATTCACGACACGTTGAACCGTACTTAGTTACTGAGTTGGTGTAAGCCAACAGCTATCTTCCTCACGACTTATCGTGGGGACAGTTAGTCTTAATTTAAATTTCATCTATGTATGTTAGACAAACCAAACGCTATTACAATGGCAATTTTAAAACGTAAAGTAAAGGATTGATTTTGAAGGGCTAAATTAATTTATTATAGTCTAACTTTAGATTCGACTGGCGATTTGGTGTGCTACTTAAAGTACATCAAAGCACATAAGTAATGTTTTCTTGATCATTTTTTACACAAATAATTGAATAATAATAATAATAATTTATTTATTCATGTTGGTTACATGTACAATACAAAAAGAGAAAACACTTAATGTAATCACATTTATAAAATTGGAAGAGGTAATGTACGATATTTTGAACTCGTAACTGTGCTAGGTTACCCTGTGTTACAGTAGTCAGTGCCCTTCACATTTTTACATGTAATCCAAAATTTCACTGCCATATTCTATTTCAAATGTAATCTTATTTAAAAAGTTCTAAAATAATAAAGTGTGTGTGTGTGTCCGTGTCAGCGCGCGCGCGCGCGCGCATGCGTGCGTATGTGTGCGTGTGCGTGTGTGTGTGTGTGTGTGTGTGTGTTTGTTCAGTTCAATCATGAAACTAGTTATATAATTTTTCATTCTGTTCTTAAACTTACGTATGATTTCAAAATCTCGTATTACTTTGTTGTATAAGCGCGGGCCTATCACATTATAATGCCGTCTAGCAAATTCTGTGCGTGTTTTAGCTATCGGACAATTATTTCGTCTTTTACAGGAGATAGGTAACGTCGGTACTATTTCCTTATAATATATATATAGTTATATACAATACATACGCAATTAATATTACTTGATGAAAAAATTGTACGTCGCCTCATCAAATGTCAGCAAATTTATTCCAAACGACAAACAGAGCACTGAAATATCAAAAATTAGTAAGAAGAAATAATTGCCTAAAAAGTGATATATTGAAATGAAACTGACAACACTGCGATCTATGAAGAGAAATGTAACAGGGGGCATCGAGGGCATCGAGGGTAGGGAAAGCCCGTGACCGTATTGTATTAATCGTTGGTGAGAACTGCCCTGATTAACCGCCGTCCATTGACATGCAACTCTGAAAGGTTGCAGATGCACCTTATTATAAAGTGGGCCCCGGCTTACTCATACACCAGAAGAAACGCAGAAGTATACCACTCCCACTTCACGCCGGTCTCCTGTGAAGTCATGGTATTTCCGTGGACATTGTTGGCCATTCGTGCAACAGCGAAAACCGTTGCGTGGCCCTACCACAGTTAACAACAAGCGTTGACTCCGCCGTGCTCGTACGCGGGAACGAACCACTTGATCTTGCCTGTTACCGTTATTTTTGATCGGGTCCCACATATGATTATGATTTGATTGACGAGATGACCTTATGACCCCTTTCTCGACCGCGGCGCAGCGGACGTCGCACGGACGACGTTTGTTAAAGGTCGCTTTGATGTCGGGTTGGTAATTCGTTGTGTTTTACCACCAGAGTTCGATTGGTCTCCGGCTCCCACTTCAGTCACCAGACGAAACGCGAAAGTATTATACTTCCACTTTACGCCGGTTTCCTGTGAGGTTCCTGGGAGGTGTCGAGGCTGCTGCGTGGCCCTACCACCGTCGAAATCTTATCAGCCCAATTCGTAACAGGTCCCCGTGCCATTTTTTAATCGCGTAAATTAAACTTCTTTAATCGACTTGTTAAATCGGCCGATGTCTAAGATGGCAGCTGTTTTGTTAGAAATGCTGAAACTTTTAAACAAAGCAACATTGCAAAGAGAGACCTCAGACTTTAGAAGCCTCGCAAATTCTTAACTGACGATAACCTTATTATGGTTACGTTCTGAATGCCGTTTTACAAAGGCCATATTCTCGTTGTGAGTTTACTATATACTGTCAGGTCTAATATAAAAAAGATTCCGTGCCACTTAAGCGTAACTGGTAGGTAGCTTGGTTTCAAGGAAGCTATCTAATTTATCGTTGTAAATCTGTAACTGTATGACACCGAAAAAAGGATCTAAATACATATATGAAATAGAGGGTTTTTTAGGAATAATAAGGCACACCCTATATCACCTGAATAATTTACATACTTATTGTGTCACTCAAAAAATGAGAATATCTGTATATCTATCGCCAATTTAAATTTAAAATTTATTGACGAATTTATATAAATTAATACCAGCTCTTGGCTTTGGCTCTCTAATTTAATATTTCATATCTGCTATGTAATATGGATTTTTTTAAATAAAGTTTCGAGAAAAATAGTTAATAAAATTTATACGGGCGCAGTGTCTATTTTAATGGCGTATCTACCTCAACTACGACTATGACATTATTATCTAATTTTAATTCAATCGCCTTCATAATGGGGCTCTATTTCTTTAAGGAATAATAAGTTCAATCTATACTGTTGCAAATTTAATACACAATAATGTAAATAACCAAATAGTTTATAAGTAATATTCTATGCAGGTACTTGTGAATATGTAAGAGATATTATAGATATATAGACATGACGTTTATATATATTTTATTTATATGATATATAATAAAATTGTTTATTAGAATGTAGAGCAAACAACATTTTCATCCTGTCAATGTTAAATATACAAAACAAAGATAATCGTAAAAACCGGCCAAGTGCGAGTCGAACTTGCGCAAGTAGGGTTCCGTTCGGTATTTATAAAAACGGCAAAAAAAATTATGTCTGTTGTATGGTAGCCACACTAATATATTTTTGTTTTTTTTTAGTATTTGTTGTTATAGCGGCAAAATTTCAACTGTAACTCACACAACTCACAACTGTCAATCACAGTTCATGAGATACAGACAGACGGATGGACGAACTGACGAACAGACAGACAGACAGCTTAGTCTTAGTAATAGGGTCTCGTTTTACCCTTTGGGTACGGAACCCTAAAACAAATACAGATGCCTCTTTTATCAATCTTGAATTCTCTTTCTCATTAATTTCAGTAAATATGCTCTAGGTGGTGTACCACACGCTGTTGCACAAATGGGCCATTCCGTCCGTATAAGTACCACGACCTCACAGAAGACCGGCGTGAAACGGGAGTGGTATATATACTTCCGCATTTCGTCTGGAGAATTAGTAGCCGCGACACACTTTATTAAAAGGTAACCACGCATCTGAAACACTTCGGATTGTGCTAATGCCTATGGACGGAGGTTAACACAACATCGGGTGAACCGCCAGCTTGCTTGCCAACCTTTACACATGAAAAAAAACCACACCGCCATTGGACCATGCAACGGGACAGCACAATTGCAATTACAAACTAGCGAACGGTTATTTCAACGCTACGAGGCGCGCGTGATGCGTTACATAAGTACGCGATAACTCGATGACAGCATCGCGCGGCCTCCAATGCGAATGCACCAGTTCAAGTGCAAGGTGACGTTGCGCAATGCGTTGCAACCACGGAAACACGATGCGTTCTCGCAACGATCTCACTGGACCGTCCACCGTACAATGTAACGAATACGCGATAAGAACGGCCGACGTATGACATACGCGCTGCAGCTTAAGAACGGATAGGTGTGCGTACGATGCTCAGTTTCATGACAGTTAAAAAGTTATTATTAGCCCTCTGCTGGACATAGGCCTGTCCTACGGAAATTATCGGTACATCGTCATAATGATTATCAGGAATCCCTACTTCCTCTTATTCCCAACCACGGCCTCCGTTCTAAGATTGTTTTTTACTTTTTATAGTTTACAAAAAAGTCCCTTTGAACAACACGAAAAGTGAATTTTGAACATTTTAAACCGCTGAAAATAATAATAAAGCTCGAATATCTTTCGATACTCGAGTTCATCTGATATTTAAATATGAACGGGTGGATTAGTAGGTTCTATCATTAGCATAACTAAAGCACTTCGGTTCAATTAAAATAGTACATACCTTAAGCATAATAGCTATACGAATGTGCCGCGACGTATTTTGAGGGTAGATAATTGGCACATAGCACATTAAGAACTAGATAAAAAGGGTCAAATTAATTAAATGCAATCGCCTGTTGACCACATGCCTCGGCATGTGCCTTGACTGTAGGTCTTTTATAAGCATGTAACAAAATCACAAACAAAACAGCAACAGTTACGGCCGATTGAACTTTCGGACTATAGCTTATTTAAAAGCGACGTCCGACGCATAAATTACAATACGATAGAGGCTGACGAATTGTTTACCGTCGCTATAAAACAAGTAGACTATAACCAAAGTTCAAAATAGCGTTGTGACTCAAACACAAATACAAACAAGATATGAAGAACCTTGAGAAATGCAATAACACACAGTGATTAAAATTCTATGCTCCTTATGATTAATTATAATTTATGGAGTGGTGCATTTGCGAGATGTTTTGCTCGGGGTAAAGCTACAGAAAATGATGAGTATTTTCAAAGACATCAATATCAAAACAAAAACTCAAGTAACACAATAAAAGGAACAACAAAGCAAGCAATTTTTTTCTTCTTGTTCCTAGAGAATGAAAATTTTATTTTAAAA